CCCTATTGTTCCGCCCCCGGCCTCCCGCCCTTCCCCTTCCCGCCCGCTCCCCTTTTCCCCCTCAGTCGCCTCGCGCCTGCAGGTAAGCTTAAAAATTATTCCTCTTTCCTTGGTTATAACTTATATTTCGTCTCTTGCTTTCATTCTTAACGAGCTCCAGCCCTCGTCACGAACCCCGGTCTCGCGTAGCCCCGCGTTAGCGCCTATCTTCTCCCTTAGCCTGGCTGGCTATTCACGCGAGGCCCTGGTTTCAGCGCGGCCTACTAGGCCTCGCGCAAGGCCTAATCGCCCCCTCCCCCCCTTTTCCCGGTGGCGGCTGCGCAGGAGTCGGGGAGAGCGCGCGCGCGGTAGGGGGGGTGGCGGAGGATTTGTTGGTTGAGGGGGGTTGGGGGAGGCGATGGCCGGCTTGTTGGCCGGGCGGGTGAGCGCGACTCCCCGCGGGGGTCAGGCGCTGGCGCAGCCCCACGAGGAGGCGCTACTAGTGCGGCCCCTCCCCCTTGGTCGCAGCGCCCCCCCCCGACCAAACCGTTTATTTCCCCCCCTTTTCTAGTTGGGGGGAGGGCGGGCTTTTTTTTTTTTTTTTTTTTAAGTGGAAAATGCCTGAATGACCGAAGGGAGGGGGGCTGCCGAGTTAAAGAAAGGGTAGACGGGCTCCTATTTATCGAGTTATTCAGGACGTTGTTCGGGGTAACGAATTTTGAAATTAGAAAATGCCTGCTGATATAGACCCAGACCGAGCTATTTATAGGAAAAGGGGTAATGGACTGCAGGATTAACAGCTGAATTGTTGGGGATTGGGTACTTTTGTGTTGACCTGGGTAGGAGAAAAACATGACAGATTTCTTGTGTACCTTACGTTTAGAAATGCACGTTCGTGCCTTGTCTCAAGAAATAAGAGCTCAGTAGACTTTCAGTTTTTCTGTTTTCCAACTTGCATTTATGTGGGATTTGACAAACGCTTCCTGTTACATTTGGGAAGTAATTAGAAATTTAACAGTATGGTATCTCATCTGAAAGAGAACGATTCTTACAGACTAATGAAATCCCTCACCCAGCACTATTGTTTTCCTGTGAGGGGGAAGTATAGACTTCTGGGATTTAGCCAGCGATTAATTATATTTTGAAGATGGGGGAATGAAGTGCTTTATATCTACAGGCTCGCATTTACTCTTGAGGTAGCCAAGGACAGTCTGCCATGATCGGAATGGTATAATACAGTTTAATATTTTGAGTAAAAGGTCTGTTGAAATCTTTTTCTAGAGAAAGATATAAGGCGTTCTGCTTCTGTAAAAGATGTGCAAACTTTGAGCCCTGTGGTAGTTGTACTCTTGTCATAGGGTCCGTACAAATTAATGCCAATGAGTTTGGTTTCTCTTACTTTTGTGGAGAAATTAACATTTGAGCTTTTAAAAGATGGGTATTGAAATGCCATTGGAGATAATTAACATAATACAGGGGAGATTATTGAGATTTTTAAAGAGGTATTGAATGTAGAGGTGAATCCAAACCCAAAGTTTAGGGGGTTTATTTACACCTAACTAGTTATTCCGGAGTAGAAAGGTTCTTAGAAATAGGTCGGGAAGGCATATTACTGTTTAAAAACAATTAAAAATTTTAGCAGTAATTTCCTTTTTAATGATTTCGAAGGAAATTTAAGTCATTTGTACTTTAAGTTACTAAAAAGACGCAAGTAAATTTTCTAAAACTTACCAAGTTTGGGTACAGGTAGGAAAAGGACTTTTAATGTTTGACCTATTTCTTTCTCATAGAGCAATGTGTGTATGGAACGTATTTAAAATAGTATCCTTTTCAGTGGTGTTCAGGGACTTGGGGGGGCTGTCAATAGATGTGATTTGTTAATAATTTTTAAATTTGTAATAACATATCTCTCAAATTGCTCCTAGAAACAAGCAAAAAGTTCTTTACACTTACTGCATAAATTCTGTGTTTATATTCACTGTATACTCACTGTAGAAAATTTCCTTTTGAGATTTCCAGGTGTTTTTGTATCCTGTTGAGACTTTACTGAAGGACAACTGGTGCACGTTCAGCAGTTCCTTTAGAACAGTTGCCAATTGAGGAATCCGTCCTCATCTTGAGAGTCAGCGAAACCCTACCTTACTAATGAGCACAGACTGGAAAGTCTCCTTCCTTGCTCAGTAACAGAACTTGAGCTGTGAATGTGTTAGGTATTATGCAGTTGTGCAAGATGTATGCAAACTGCTATTTGATAGGTTATTTTAGAGTTGATTAGAAAACAGTAATTGTTAATAGAACTTCAGGAACTCTCCTGCTTTGTCAGAGTTTTTCCTCTTCTGATTTCAGTAATTTTTCATTTCAGTTTTATCTTCCACCCTCACCTGTGACCAAAGACTTGACCACTCAAAGTCCAGCTCACCAGAACACAGCTCGACATGGACACCGGTGTGATTGAAGGTGGATTAAATGTCACTCTCACCATCCGGCTACTTATGCATGGAAAGGTATGCACCAGCTGCTTGGGAAATTGGGTCATAGTAACTGCTGTTAGAGGAGGGGCCAGGAAGAGAGGGCATGCATCTTGGCACTCATTAGATTAGCACTGTGGGGTATCTGGCTTTAACCTTCTCTGGCTCAGTGGATGAGACTGTTGTGGGAAAATGAACAGACTTCGCTAGGAAGCACCACTGAGCAGGCATAGCTTTATTTGAGGCTGGAGCCAAATAATATAGCCTTACCTAGGTAGTATGTTTTCCTTTAAGCTTGTGATAGATGAGTAGATTTCCTCTGCCCAGACAATTTTAGAAAAGGTAAGGGGAAAAGATAGCGGTTGTACTCTTGTATCATTATCTCTTCGGGATTCTTTGAGAACTTCACTTTTAAGTTCTGAACACAGAAGATAGTAACTAGTGTTTTCAAACTTTAAAATCCTTTTATTATTGTCTTAGTAATTTTAATTAGCATATAAGAGTTGGTTAGCTGAACGGTTGTTAACTCTTCATAATAATCCTTTTCCTGACTTCCTCTTATTATTACTTGTTTTCTCCATTTCAGGAAGTTGGCAGTATCATCGGAAAGGTAAGACAATTTTTCCCCCTTCTCCAAGATACTTTAAGTACTATTTAGTCCATTTGGTTTGAAATAGGAATTGGAACTCACACTTGATTTTTCTTTTTACAGAAAGGAGAATCCGTTAAGAAGATGCGTGAAGAGGTGAGTTTGAGGAGGGAAAGCTTTGGGATTGTTACTTGGGAGGTTAAAAACATCCAGAAAAGAGAAACTAGAAGTGGGACTACCTTAAAAGCATTTTTCTGGCATGTATTTGCAGTGACAACTAGTGTATGAAATAAGGTTCTGACAGGTCTCAGAATTCATTCAGAACATATGGTAAGATAGGTTGGAGACTTTTTAAGTCTCTTTCTCATTTTATTTTGGAGTGGTTAAAAGTGTCCAGGGAGTTCTTTCCATTTGGTGAATTCTGCAGGGCTATACTCTAGGGCCCACTCTGATGCTTAAAATCCACTCCCTTTTAAATTTTAAAATCCATTTAGGGCTGGAGGGGAATAGATGAGAAATCTTGTCCAGATGGAGGGTCAATTATGAGTTGTTTCCAACTGAATGGCATTAAGTTTGAGTTTATTGGTATGATTTATTTTTAAAGCAGCCCAAATGTTCAAAATGATCTGCTTCTGTAAAGATTTATAATTTTGGAAACTCTTAAGGAGCAGCTCTACTCTGTCTTAATGATTGCTGAGAGTCAGAATCAAACAGCAGTGGTTATTAGTGGCTGGTATCTTTTTGACTTTAACTTCTTTTGGTTCTGGTGTTTTTTTTTTTATCCAGAGTGGTGCACGTATCAACATCTCAGAAGGGAATTGTCCTGAGAGAATTATCACTTTGGCTGGACCCACTAATGCCATCTTTAAAGCCTTTGCTATGATCATTGACAAACTGGAAGAGGTTTGTTACTCCCTTTACTTGAAAATGTTTCTAGATAGTCATGCACTGTTGTCAAGGATTAAAATAAAAAATAATTTTAAATCAGATTGATCATAAATTGGTCCTGCTACTTGTCAGCATCCCTCCATATTTGCCTGTTTTTAGTTATTTAGAAAAAAAAAGATTTAAGAATATTTAAATAAAAAATGTTGACTGAGTGTCTCCAGGAATTTGATGTAAAATATTTGAGTGATAAACTAGTATTTTTTTCCCTCCTTGAACAATAAAATTTAAGGTATGTAACTCATGCTTTGGTCAACGTACTGCCCTTTAAATCACAATTGAACAAATTTTTTTTTAAGGGCTCATGAAAGTATAAAATGATGTTCTAATTTTCAAAAAACCTGGATACACTTTTTTTTAGCTATCAAGCCTTATTTTCAGGGACAAGGAAGAGGAGAATGGAAGTTTGGTTTTGAGGTTACAGAAGTAATGCTTGAATTAGAATTTTGTTTTATTTTTTTGGTTTATTAAGGGGATAGAGTTGGTTTGTGGGAAGGGAAGATCAACCTTCTGCCACAGAAGCCACCTGCATCTTGTCCTCAGCCCTCCCCCTCCTGTTAAATGCAGCTCATTGTGCAATTGACACCAAATACTGAGGAAGGCTACTTTGCTGTTTGGTTGTTGGTTTGATACTTTAATGCTGCCTGAAATCTTACCCTTGCCAAGACCAGAGATTTTTTTTTATCAGGACTTTGCAAATCTAGAGCTGTGTCTTTTAAAAACCATGTAGAAAATCTGTTTGCGACAGTTTTGGTTCTGATTTCCAGGCATCTGTATAAACATCATTATTGTCTAATTTTCTTCCTTATGTAGGATATCAGCAGCTCTATGACCAATAGCACAGCTGCCAGTAGACCTCCAGTAACCCTGAGGCTGGTGGTTCCTGCTAGTCAGTGTGGCTCTCTCATTGGAAAAGGTGGTTGCAAGATCAAGGAAATACGAGAGGTTGGTAGCTTTTGTACTTTTACAAATGTCACCTATTTGTTTTAAACTTGGTTTCTGTTAGCTCTCAGAATAGCTAGAGTCATTGTGCAGAGGAGATTAAGAGTTTTTTTTTTAAATGAATTATTAGACTGATAGTTCTGGGAATAAAATCACACAGCTGTTTATTATATAAATGCTTTAATAGTAATTCAGAATGAAAAAGTAATTTTGACTTTAATTCTTGCATGAGACTTCTTAAATTTTTGGGCAACTTTATTGGTTGCATCATTTTTCATATCTGAAAACTTTACAGTTTGATATAATAATCTTTGTGTTTACCAAATTCTTAAGCAGTAGGAGGAAAGTGGGAAGACATGTTGGTATAGTTGTAATCCTGTTCCTTTTGGTATTGGCATTTCCAATTATGGAAGTTACTGGGTTGAGGGGTGTGCAACTTGAAAGGAAAATAGGTGTGTGTTTTCAGAAGCCTAGTCTGCATGACATGAGAGCAGGAACCTTAGTTTTATTTATTGCTGTATTTATAGCTTGGCATGGAAAACAGGCTTGATAAATTTGATTAGCAGGAAAAAGATGGGCAAGCTTCTGAGCAATTAACTGCCTCTGAAAACCTGCAAGACGGTCAGCTATGGGTCGATTTCTCACTGGACAATTCCCAACAGCAATCCCCCCACCCCCAAAAATTGATTGGCACTGAAAAAGTGTAGTGTGGGGTGTGGTTTTTTGGGGGGGTTTTATTGGTGGTGGTGTTATTTTATCTTTTTCTGTCCCTCCCCCCCATGAGAGAATGCAATAGGGCTGATAGATGTTGGGGTATTTGACCCCCAGAGGTTTTAATATCTCAGAAGAAATTATCTAGGAGGATCTTTTTCTTGAGATAAGGTTAAATCTGGGTTTACTCTTGGCTTTCAGAGGCAAACTTACTTTTAACTGATTAGAGGATAATGAAAAATATTTATTGAGATATACGTTAGAATTGGCTGCTGGCAAGGATTGGAAGAGCATGAACTATTTCTAATTTTGAATTTATTTTTACCCCAAAGAGTACAGGGGCTCAGGTCCAGGTGGCGGGGGATATGCTCCCCAACTCAACTGAGCGGGCCATCACTATCGCTGGCATTCCGCAATCCATCATTGAGTGTGTCAAACAGATCTGCGTGGTCATGTTGGAGGTAAGCCCTCAGGCTCATGCTGAGAATGGTGGGTTGGGTAATTTGGGGGAAGAGTTATTTTAGTAAGACTAGAATTAGATGAAGTGGTTAACGCCTCTAGTAGTGATGGGGAAGAGATTCTCCCAGTAATTTTTGCAAGGATTTTTTGTGCTTTGAATTAGTATTGTTTAAAAAACTGGTTGCTGTGTATAACTAGAGTGTTTGTGATGTGCCTTCAAGACAGAATTCATTCTTGCCCTTCAACGGATTTTCAGAAGCTGTAAATCTCACGAGAGAAGATTGCCCAACTCTGCCCAAACACATGCTTTTGGGTTGAGGGCACAACTTCTTAGCATTGGGCCACCAGAGCTCCCTTATAAGTGTTGTGTACCTTCAAGTCAGAACCAACCTGTAGATCACACAAGAGATTGCATATCTTGTTCAAGTGGATCTGCTCTTGGGTTCGAACCATGTCCCTTTGCATTAGCACAGTTCGTTACCACAAAGCCACCAGAGCTTCATGTAACCAGAATAGTGTGTCTAAATTGCTTGAAATCTTGGTATGCCGTTTTATTAAATAGCACCAAAAAGGGACTAGCAAAATAGAAGAATATTAAACATAGTTTGTAGTCAGTCTCCTGTAGATGAGACATTTTCAAGGAAAAGCTGAACCAGCTGCCCCATAGTTTCCAAGGATTTATCTTTATAGACGCAGAGTGTCTGATTATGAAGTACAGTTAGTATATTTGAAGCAAGAATCTTCTCTTTCTTGGCTCACAGCTTCACCCAGTGAGCCACCAAATTTCAGCTTGGTGGATGAAATCCGGGCATAGCTTTTTGACCATTTACTATTATTTTTGGCTTGACTTCCTATTCAGACAGTCTCAAGAGTCAGGCATTGCCAACTAAAGTGTAAACATAGTTTTTGTTTATTGGATTTATTTAAAACATGGAAATGAGGCCTAGGCTTACTAGAGGAGCATTTATTTTGATTTGAATTTATATGTATCTGAAAACCATCTTAATCCTTTAGAGGCATTTGGAGATGTTTTGAGATAAAAGCAGCAAGCCAGGGACAAATGGTGGTGAGGGCATGGAAATGATAGCTTTTAGTTTTTAATTGACCTGTGTGAGCTTAAGCCACACAGCTGAAGCAGCTTTGAAACCTTATCTCTCTTTGTTTTTTTCCCCTTTGACTCTCTCCCAGTCCCCCCCGAAGGGCGTGACCATCCCGTACCGGCCCAAGCCGTCCAGTTCTCCAGTCATCTTTGCAGGTGGTCAGGTAAGAAAATTCTTACTGTTAGAATGGTTGTGGATTGTAATTGAAATGTCTACTTTGCCGGCAGCACACCAGGCCATTCTGCATGCTTGCTGAAATCTGTACTCTGGCCATGGTTTTGACCTGCTTTTCTTTTTTTTTTGTACTGGAGAATGCTTTGGATGCCAGGCCATTATTTAAATTTAGCAGGCAATTGGAAGTGTTGTAGGCACTCGGAAGCGGTATTTGATAGTAGTAAGTGGGTTGACTCAGCTGTTAATTGCAAGGTTAGGGGTCTGAACCCATCAAATACTCAAAGTGAGAGAGATGTCGAAGTCTGCTTATTTAAAGATTTACAGTCTTGTGTGCCCTGTTGGGCATTTCTACTCTGCCTTTGAGTTAGAATTGACTTGAAGATGTTGGGTGGTGGAGGAGGACTAGAAGAAAGGGTTAAATTACCTGGGTGTCACTATTTTTATCCTATCTCCATCATACCTGCTTTATATGTATATGAGGTGATTTTTAGAGGTCTGAATTAAAAGTTGGACCTCTGGAAGGGATATTCTGGATGGTGGTCTTAACCAAATTTTGGGGTCCTGACCTTGAGTGTCCTACAAACTTCTCCTACCCCCACCTCACTGCCCTTACTCCTATCCCTTCACTCCCAAACTACAGTGTGTTTTTCACAGGCTCTTAATCTTACAAACATGGTTTTGATCCTCCAAGGCATAACAAATCAGCTGGGCTAAGTGTTCAGTGTCTTAAGAGAAAGGGGGATGCATGTCAAACTGTGGTGCTACAGTATGACTGCTAAAGTACTCCCTTGGCATCTGTTCTTCCTCACGTACCTAAACATTTGGTTTATTCTAAAGTCAAGTTAGGATTAAATAACTGTTCAGCACCATTGTAGTTTTACAGTTTGTTGCTTAGTATTAGAGGTATAGGTAGGTTAGTTTTTTAAATAGTGATCTTTATTTTGGTAGCTTTCTAGATGAAAAGAACAAGAACCTTTTCCCATTTGGGGTTGGCCTATTATAAGCATATTTAACTAGTTTTATTTGTATCTGACTTGGGAGCTGTTCATCAAGAAACTGTAAACTTTAGTCCATTTCTTTCATGTTTGGTTAAGTTGGTATTAAATGAGGGGGGGTTTGAGACTTAATTTGTCTTTAGTTTTCACTAGATAATTTTTAGTATCTTGCTTTTAGGCACTGTGTATACACTGGTTTGGTCAAAGATTTCTTAGTTTGGTAGAATAAGTAAAGGTTTTGAGTCAGTATATAGCAAGATGGCTTAGCTGTACAAGTTTACCTTTCTCCATAGGAATTCTAGATTCCTGTTCTTGATTCTTCAACTCCCATTTGGGGTTGTAGAGTCCCATGCTATGTGACAGTATTCCTCTCTGTATCATTGCTCTAATGCCCTTCCCTTTTTCTCCTTTCTCCTCTTTCCTTCCCATCATACCTTTTTGCTACCCTTACGTCCCTCCCCTTTATTCAGTTGACCACCCTCTTAAAAGCTTGCAGCTTCTTACATGAGTGGCCCTCCCTTGGAATATTCCCTCCAGCCTTTTTAAATGGACCAGTTCATTAAGTGTCCACATAAGAACTTTGCCTTTTATTCCTTGTGGCAAAGTGGGCTCTTCAGGGGTTCTACTTAATCCCATATTGATTCAGAGCTGCGATCAATCAGCTTTGCCCTACTCCTTCATTCTTACTAAAAATAACCCAAATGTGAAGTGTGGAAAATGCCACTAGGTAACTTTTTAAATTATTTTTTAATTTACTGATTACAGCTCGTTTTAAATTGTGTTGTGAGCTCCTTTTTAAAAGAAAAAGGATACAAATAAACAACTTTTTTTTGTGTGCATTTCATGCTGGTGACAAGGTGCCGGATTGACAGCCCTGGAGACTGAAATCCTCTATTTATCCACAGGACAGGTACAGCACAGGCAGCGACAGTGCGAGCTTTCCCCACACCACCCCGTCCATGTGCCTCAACCCTGACCTGGAGGGACCACCTCTAGAGGTGAGAGGGGATGTTCAGTCTCCAAGGCTCACTCAATCCTTCCGCCTCAGCCGAGACTGCCAACATGTGGGGGGCCAGTGGCGCTGGTGATTTTTGTGCTGTGGACACCACCTGTCCACGGGGACCTGGACTGACCCCCCCCACACACACCTCATTTCACACAGGCCGAGTAGCCCACCAGATGGTAACGCCAACTTTTTTTTAAAAAGAATTTTTGTTTTTGTGTTTTTTTGTTTTTGTTTTTTGGTGGTTTTTGTGTTGGTTTTTTTTTTTTTTTTGGTTGTTGTTCAACCCCTTTTTCCCACATCCCACTCTTCCCACCCCATTTTCACCTTCCTCCTACCCCTACCTGGGTGTACTTTTGGGGTACTGGCCACTGATGTGAGAAGCTTCACATCCTCAACAGCCACTCTTTACTTCCCTTCCCAGTTTCTTTTCCTTTCCTCCTTGATCCCTCCCCCCATTGCCCTAAAGACCCAGCTCCCATTTTGGGAGGTTATGGTGTGGGGGGAGGAGGGCATAGAGGGAGCTGCAAGTGCTTCTTATGGAGGGAATGTGGGAGAAGGCAGGAATTGTGTTCCTTTGCTAGCTCCCTAGTGTTAGGAATCCAGCTAGCTTCTAGTTCCTTAGACATATGTTGAAATATTAAAAAGATAAGGGAAAAGAAAATAACTGCAAAACATGCCAAGTAGGTTTGTGCAGATATAAAACATTCTGATCATCATTGGCAGAAGGGTTGGAGTGCTGAGGGAAGGGACCACTTTCCTCCTGCACTAAATTAAATACTGGGAGGATGTAGTGGGCTTGGGCATTGCTTATCCCCAGCTTTTACACTTTCATTAAGAAAAAGTATTTTTGCCTTTGCAGGGAACTTGTCTCCTTTTATAGGTTCCCTGGAATAGTCAGTCATCATAGTAAATGTTCATGAAGGCCAGCTTGGATATTTGTGAGATAACTTAAAAACTGTCTACTGCCTCAGTCCTGGCCTCCCCATTCTCTAGTTCAACTCTGGCTTCCTGAATAGTTGAAATCTCTTTCCCGTATGGGTGGCTGTCCGTGATTGGTTTTTAATAGGAACTGTTTTCCTCCTTTTGTAGGCCTATACCATTCAAGGACAGTATGCCATTCCACAGCCAGATGTAAGTTTTGTTTTCACTTCTTGTTTTAAAAACCTTGCTCTCCCGTCCAAAATTGTCTTTCTCCCAAATAGCCAGAAGTGACTTGGGTGGTCTTAAACATTTATGATGTTAAATTGTTGCACAATGGGAATGACATTATTTTCCTTCCAACAAGGTGAACCCTTAATCAGGGCGCAGTAGCACCTTGTCTTTGCTTTTTAACATTAATCTATTCATTACAACTCAGAAGATTATTAGCTTTTACTCTCCTTGTTCCATTCCATGTTATTCTGTTAAAAATGAAATCTATGGTATGCTGTCATTTGTTCTCTTTGCACAGTTTAAATTGACAGTGGACTGCACTTCTGCATGGAGTTCTCCTTTCCAAGGGGAGAGTGGGAGGATGGGATGCCCTTGAGTTTTCTGCAGTCTTAGAACTTTAGAACGTATTTAGAAGGTCATAGAAGGAACTTACATACATAGGGAGGGATTGGAATTTGGTGATTAATTGAAAATCTTTCTTGCCACCGAAAGCTAAAAATGCTAAATTCAGGCTTTCGGGTGCATTTCTTTGTACATATTTTTTTCCTTACTAACCCTTTCAAGTGCTGAGCATTAGACTTAGGAAATTTTGTTCAGCTTTTTTTGGTTAGTTGTAACTCCCAGGAAAAGGAAGTAGACCGGAAAAGTTAATAGCTTGGGGAGTTTAGATGAAGAAAACAGTTCAGGACCTTCATTGGTGGTTGGGAGATTGGTTAAATTTAGTTTGGATTCTTAATCTTTGTCCTCCTGCTCCCTCATCTCCTTCCCTAATCCCAACATTGATGGAACCCTGCATGGTGTGTTTTCCCTAGCAGCACTGCACAGTTTGTTTACCTAGCCTGTCTGCTTGTCCCTGGGGCAACTGTTGCAATGGCTGCAAACACTTTCATTAAGTAGCTCACAAGGGGATGATTGTCGGCAGGTGCTGCTGCTTTCTTTTTCTCATAACAGCCAAAGTGCACTTATTCTCCTATGTTGATACTTTCTATATCTTTATCCTTCGAAGTCTGTCCAACTCTAAGATTGTTATTTAAGCCCGATCCCTTACCCTCCGTTAAGATTTGAACATTAGAATCCATGTCAGGGATCAAGAGCTCTGCATTTTCAAATTTGAACATGCTTGAGCACTGGCTCTGTTACTCTCCTAATGCCAGCCTCTCTTCTTTCCTCCCTGCAGTTGACCAAGCTGCATCAGTTGGCAATGCAACAGTCTCATTTTCCTATGACGCATGGCAACACCGGATTCAGTGGTATGGATACCTCAATGTTTATTTCTGTAAGGTGTAGTGCAAGACAGAGGCCAGCCCCAAGGTCTCAACTTGGCATCTGTTTAAAATAAACTTCATTGTCCAGCATCCTGCTGATTTAAACTTCCCTGTCTACTATGACTAAACTCAAGGAGGTAATGTGATTGTTAACATGTTTTCATTTGGGGTGAGTTACTCTAAAAGTAAAATATAAAGGCCCTGGAAGGTTTGGGGGTGCGGTTTGGGGCTGCCTGTCAGGCAAAGGGTAGGCTGATATTTCTTCTAAACCATCCTTACTACTGCCCCCTTGATCTGATTGGCACCCCCTTTCCCTCCACCAGCTATTCACAGACCTGGGTAGAGACAATCCATTTGTGCCAAATTGTGTAGTGATTTTTTTTTTGTTTGTTTGTTTATTTTGTTTTGTTTCTGTTTTTTTTTTTTTTTTTCTTTTCATTTTCTGTATAAGGAATAACTTGTCCGATAGGGTTAGGATGAGACCACCAAACTCATTTTCACTTGTATCTTAACAGGCATTGAATCCAGCTCTCCAGAGGTGAAAGGCTATTGGGGTAATGATTAAAAAAAAAATCTGTAGTATTCTACTGTTATTAATAAACTGGTGGGAGTCTTGTTTCACTGCCCATGAACCATACCAGCAGCAGCATACACATGTCAGAGAGGAGCTGAGAGAGCAAAGGGATGGGCTGGTGCCCCCAAGGGTCCTTTGATGGATCTGGCCAACCCCATTCTGGAAACTTTGTGAACAGTAACTGAAGTTGAGCAGAATTTGGTTTCTGAGGGTTAGTCAGCTGGGCTGGTCCAGTCCAGATGTCATGTAGATGGGTGGTAGGGGTGTTGCTGATGGGATTTTTTTTAATTATTTTTATTTGGAAACCAAAAATTAAAACCAGAAGTAATTATTGAGCAAAACACAGGGAGTAAGTCTGGAGAAAATTTCTCTCATCTGACTGCCATTTCATTTTTATCTGACCTCCAAGTTTAGTTTAGAAGAAGGGTAAGGGTGGGCAGTGTGTTTGTGTAAATCTGATACAAGTATATTTAAAGCAACTCTTCATGGGTGCCAAAAGTCCATGGTACCAGTAGTAGGCATGATACTGGCACTGGTGCTCCTGGGCATCAGGTGAGATAAAATTGGAACACAGCTGCAGAAAATCCTAAGCAGAGAAGGGTTTAGAAGTACAAATGGACTTGATGTTTTACATTTTGGTCCTCATTGAGGATACCATAATTCCTTGCCCTTTGCTTTCACCATCCACTACAATAGGCAGGGCTTTGCAGGAAATGGCATGAAATCAGCTCTTGGAGGGAGTATACAGAAGAACTTTTTCCAGCATTATTTCTATACCCCTCCCCCCCCTCTTTCCTCCTTGGAGGCTTCCATGTTAGTGATGAATCCCAACTGCTAATGCTGGGTTTCCAGTTTGTTTCCTTCTGTTAGGTTAATGTGCAAATCAGTGCAATTTGGTATGCTATATATTGAACTTTTCTTGCTCTCTTCTGTTTTTTAGCAGGTTTGGATGCATCTGCTCAGACTACTTCTCATGAACTCACCATTCCAAATGATGTAAGTGTATGGGTTATGTGTGAAAGATAAGATTGAAAAAAAAAATTAAAAAAAAAAAAAGAAAGATAAGATTGATTTTAAAAAATACAAGTCTTACAGCAATGTCTTGACACTTGAAGCCCTGGGGAAAGGAAATAGAAAGTTTTAGACAGCATATTTTATGTTTAGGTGTACATATCGGTATAGGTACAAGTTTGAGAGTATAAACTAGAAGATTGATAAAACAGTAGAAAAACTCCACTGAAAAAAAATTTGTTTGCTTTTTTGTAAAATACTTACGGTCCTCTCTGGGTTGAGTAAAAACACTTAGAGCAAGTACTCAGTAGCGTCTGCACCTGTGTGTATGATGAAGGCCCTCCCCCCCCCCTTTTTATTAGTAGTATAAGACGTAAGCTTTAGAAAGCAATAAGCCAACATTTTGTCCTTGTAAAAGGTGGTCATGGTAAAGTAAATTCTGGGATCTTGTGGCCAAATCTAAAGACTTTTCTATTCCTAGCTATTTAACTAGGTTTATTATCTTGACCATGGTTTGTCATTGAGTTTAGTGCTCTGAGAAACTACTTTTTTTTTTGTGGGTATAGCTATTAAATAATGCATAGTGGACTTTGTTGATGTAGTCCATAATGAGTTGGCCTTTATATTAATAGGCTGCCTGTCTCTGTTCAAATCCACCAGGAGTTCCTTGGGAGAATGATGGGCAATCTCCTCCTTTTGCCATTTGTAGCCCTAGAAAGCTACTAAGAGTTGGGCCAACTGAATGACATTAAGAATCTTTTTTTTTTTATGCATGAATTGAGTTATATTGAAGTGCTTGTACTTCTTATTGGTCAAAAGGTTTGGTGGGTGAATCATATGATTGTACAGTCTGCTCAAAGTAGCTCTGACCTCTAGTGGTCAGAGAAGAATAGAGCAGGAGTTCTGAGTCAGAATATATAAAGTTTTCTTATTTGGAAAAAAGGCAATTGAAGATAGCTTCTTTTTTTTTTTTTCCCTTTTCTTTTCACTTAAACTAAATCCAGAGGAATAAGCTAGAATTATTTGACCTAGTTTTGTAATTTTTTTTAATTTGCTATGTCTTTCTGTTCTCTTAAGTTGATTGGCTGCATAATCGGGCGTCAAGGCGCCAAAATCAATGAGATCCGTCAGATGTCTGGGGCGCAGATCAAAATTGCGAACCCAGTGGAAGGATCTACTGATAGGCAGGTTACCATCACTGGATCTGCTGCCAGCATTAGCCTGGCTCAGTATCTAATCAATGTCAGGTAAGAATTCTTTTTTTTTTGTTTAGTTGATGATAATATCTTGTTTATATTAAAGAAAGATACATTATCTTATTAATTTTGCAATTTGGTGTTTGTTGGTGTGGGTAAGTGAAATTTGTAAAAAATAAGTGGCCAAGTTTTTATTTTTAAGTTTATTATCTAGTCCCACTTTTTATAGCAGAAAGAACCAGATTTGAAGTAAATGGGGGGTATTTGCATTTGATTTTTTTATAGTTTTGAGATTGGGAAGTATGAAAGAAACATACCTTTACTATTAAAATAATGACTGAAGTACAGATAGAGAATGTAACAATTAATTGTGGTCTTTTTAATCTCCATGCTATAAGTGGTGTGATTTTTTGGGTCCAGTGTACTCTTTAAGATGAGAATAGTGAAGTATTTTCCTATTTTCATCCCTTCATTTTCTCAGGTTTTTGTTTCATTAATCCAAACTTGGATAATATAATTACATTTCAGATTCCAGGAGGACTGGTCCTAGTCTAATGTCCCATATTCTTAGATTGCATCCTTAATAGCTTATTAACATTTTAAACCAATCACAGTAGTCTGTTTTTCAAAGAGCTTAACTGTCCATTATATGAGAAATTTCTAGTGACTTTTACACTTATCAAAAGTTACATGAGTTCTAAGTCTAGTTTTAGATAAGGAACTTACAAGTGAAATCTGCATATCCTAATTATATTGCCTATTCTTGGTCTTTTTGCCCTTAGTTAAATACTTACTCACTGGTTGTAATTCTGCACTTTTGCTTCCATCTTTTTATCTTTTGAGGTCTTGGTTTTCATATTGAAAACTTGATTATGTTCTACTCTTCTTTCTTGTACAGCTACAAAATACTTGAAGTCTTTAGTTTTAAGTGGTAGCACCATGTTTTCACATATAACATTTCCATATAAACACTATGTTCATAATAGGCATAGGAAACCCCATAAACATGTGTTATCTGCATCAGTAATCTTCGCATAAGTGTTATTTCCATTCCCTCATGGAGCTGTAGGACATGTTAGATGTCAAGAATCAAGTTCTTAAGAAGGTAGTCAGTCCATGGAAACAGACATCATTCTGGGAAAGGTAGAGGGTCCGAAAAAGAGGACCTTGAACAAGATGCATTGAAACAGTGATTAACAGTGGCCTCTGGCATATCATATGGTTAGGACAGCACAAGATTCAGGTCTGTTCTAGGATTGCTATGAGTCATAGTTGACTCACAGTAACAGTTGCTTTTCTGTGTTTGGGTAATACTCAGATGTGACCTGCATTCAGTGGCTAAGTTGTAGAAGCAGAACTCCTCCACACCATAGTTTGCTGATTGAATAGCTGTTCACAATCATACTATTGATTGAAACTGGAATCCAGTCGGAATAATTTAACATTGATGTTAAGGCCATGCAAAAAATTAACTTCCTTATGGTGGGCTAGTTTTAATACAAATATCAAACTGGCAGGAATTTCTCTGCTTTCAGTAATGGATTCTTGAGTATTTGCTGAAAATTTCTGTTACCTAATGGTAGGAATCTAGTTCCTTTTGTGTGTATATATCCTCTCTTTTATTAATTGAAGTTGGAGCTTTTAGGTAAAATCTGTCCTTGTGCAGTAGTGGGCTGTTGAGATAGACTTGAACAAATATGTCAGCCCCAGCACAGACACATGCTTTTAGAAACCTGCAGGATGTTACTTATTTTTGGATTTAGGTATACATTTGAAGTACAGGCAGTCAAAACTACTGTTCACCAGAAATAGCCCTAGTTTTTATCTGCTTTGCTATTTCTGCATTTTTCTTTGAAAATGGTACATTCTTTTCAGTGATCTACTTTGAACTTTCTTGCCTCTTTCCATCTTCATAATCTGCTTATTTGTGGTCATGGAAGCAAACTTAATACTCATTAGAGGGAAGACATGAAAACATGTTAATAACATTCAAAAGCTGTATAATTAATGCTATATAATGGCTTTTCCATTAGATTGAGTAATTGACTTTTGAATGAGACATTTCTTTCTTGGTTTTAGGTGAATATTTATTTTCTACCTGAGATAAATTTCTTCCTGACTTTTTTACTGAGTTTTAAGGATACATGACAATTTGTGTTCTTTACTCAGTTTGTCAGGGTTTCTATTCTGTAGCAGTTATAAGTAGTAGCATTTTGGAAGGGTGCATGGGAAAATTAAATATTTTTTAGAGGACGGGTACAGGTTAAGAAGACACTGTCAGAAAGTTTGTATTAGGTCTTCCTAATTGACAACCAGAAGCGCTAACTGATAATTGAAGCAGTTTTTGTCCTGTACTTTTTTCCCTTTTGTGGTCTTCCCTTCCACCCACCCTTTTTTTTTGTCCTTTTTTTCCTCTGTTACAGTTTAGAAAACGCTAAACCCTCCTCCCAGGCAGCCTCCGTCACGATCCCTGATCACCTCAGCATCAACCTCTCTCAACCCTCCACCCCTTCTTCTTCTTCCTCCTCCACCACCACCCCCTCACTCGCCACAGCGGGGACCTCCGACGCACCCTCCAGCCTCCCCAACCCTCTTCCGACCGCCCCTTGTGTCTCCAGTCTGCTTGGCATGAAACCCATCCCTCTCCTGGCTCTAAATGTTGTGTCTGCTGCTAAGGGTACTGGGGCTTCAGCTACCACCACCACCACTTCTGCGGTGCCATGTGTCACTAACAAACTGAAAGGCGAGAAACAGAGATTCTCACCCTACTGATTGCATTGCATATTTTAAGATATCCCCTCAAGTATTTCTTGGTTCATTTTGCTTTTCTTTGTTAATATTGGTGAGAACCAAACTATTGTGAGCTTGTGAGCATTTTCTTTTTACTATTTTGGTGGGTAAAGGGGGTGGGGTGTGGGTGGGAACAGTGTGGTGATAACCTTTGTTTAGGTTTAGGCCACTTGAGCTGAGTGCCTGTTTTAAGAGTCTGACTTGTTGAATTCTTTATCTAGAAACATAATTCTTGCTCTTTCTTACTCTGTTACTTTTGTAGCTTTATTCTGCCTTGCAATATGACAATGTGTTAGGCTCTATGTTAATGAATAAAAGCTTATCCGTTAACTTTTTTTTTAAAAATTTATTTAATGGTGTCAGTAGGCCATCTTGGCCATATTGGTGTTTCTAGCCATAATAAAGTTGCCACATAAGAAACTAGTTTACTGTGTACTCTGAAGGGTAAAGGGGTGGGAACATGTGTATATAATCTGTAGCTGTTTAACTTGGAGACTTATAAAACTGAGTTGGGCCTTTTGTATCTCAGGTTAATTTTTTAGTTTTGCTGTTATTCTACTTAAAGCAATACGGCAGTATATATCATGAGGATCTTTCATAATTGATGAGGTAGTTTAATGAAAAGCATTACCCAAATTCCAAGATCCCCTTACCCTGCCTATAGCAGGAAATAATATAAGTGTGTCTGTCCATTTCAGGCTTCTATTTTCCCCTGGAGAGTGGTAATTGGAGACCTTTTTAAAAAAATCATACATAAAACACAGGTGGTTTTTGTGTGTTTTTTTTTTTCTTAAATAGTCCTTTTTTGTTTGGTTTTTTTAATTTTATTATTTTGTGTGTGTGTGCTGTCAAATCAGATCTGACTGGTACAGGAGGAGATTGCCCCTCCTTCCCCAGCAGAGCATCTGGTGGATTCGAACAGTGTTCCTCTGGGATTGCAGTGCACCTTCTTGTCACTAGGCCACCAGAGCTCCCTTGCAGTTATTTCTTAACCACAGATTAGGATGGGGGTATAAGTTGGGAAGATTGGAATGCTTCTGCTTGGTTCCTCTTTGGTGATACTAAATAACTCTTAAATAATGTCACAAAGATGTGGCTGGATTCTGACAGGTTACCCTAAAGCAGTTCTGATTATTCCACCTAGTTGTATTACCTTCCATTTCTGTTTACTGTCTATACTTTTTCTCATCAACAGTACCAGAAACAGATTTGGAAAGAATAGACTGACTGATTTGTAACTCATTAGTCCCTTCATTTTACTTGCTAAAAGCAGAGGCTTCACAGTACTTGGAGTTTCTATAAATGTAACACAGTCTGTAGATAACAAAAGATTTAAAGCTCATGAATATCCCAACATATTAGCTCTACTCTCTGGTGTTATTGTGGCCCCTTAATGCCATATTAATGTTATTAGTGACAAATCCCAAGTCTGCATGATGGATTGGAAGAGCAGGCTTACAAATCATTGTCCAGGTAGGATATTGTTATTTTTCTCCTTTGGTTGGGTCATCTTGTTTTCCCTTCATAGTGAGAAGTTCATCAACTTGATAACATCATCCCTAGGGCCGTTTTTTTTTATCTAGCTCTTGATTGGAAGGCCACTTTTGCCTTGTGAATTTTGCATAAGGAATGATTGCTAGGAAGAAATACAGATTATTTTTGGGACATACTACCGTTATCACCTCCAAGGGTGTTTTTTAAAAGTTTATTAAAGCACCATGTGGTACTTCTAGATAAAGTTTTTAGATTATTTCTAGTTGGGTTATCTCTTTGCTGCTTTTCAGACCTAAGCTTTATACAGATTATCGTCAATTCATACTTAAGGCTCTTTGAGGGACTGTTTGGTGGTAGACTTTCACATTGTATGGTTTTAATTCTTTTCTTTTTTAGGTCCTAGATGTAAGCTGTATTCAGCAGGTCTACTTTTGGATCTTTATACTTAAATTCCCTTAAATAGCTAGGTCCCACTAAACACTTTAAGAGGATTGGTTTTTTTGTGTGTTTGGGGTGGGGGTGTGTGTGTTTTTTTGTTTTGGTTTTTGTTCCCTAGATGAGTCATTTTGAAGTTGGCAAAAATCTTCTTAAATGACTAATACCCCTTTTACACTGAGATGATCCTTAGTTTCCCTTTCGGCTTTGTGTTGAATGCCTGTAGATGGAGGGAATTGTCCCTCAAGCCTTTTTTGCCTTTTACATCTAGAATCTTTATTATGAAACTTTATGGGCTGATACTGAGTCTTCAACATTTTCAGTTCAATACTGAATGAGAGCTAATAATAGGACAGCATGCTGAACATCTAAATATCTTCCCATTTAATAGCTCTAAATTAGATTACAGGTTTTCTGATAACCATACGAAACAGAATGGCATTATAGCCATGTATATTTGGACGGAGAATGTTATGTACAGGGAGACCTCAAGGTTAGGAGTTTCTAAAATGAACTAGGCATATGAAACACATTACTTTGTCTAAAAACTGAATTTGTCAGTATTAAGGCCTGAAAACTAGTCCTAACATCTCCTGGTCATCCTTTTACACTGTGAAAGTAGTAATCTGTTTCAGGCTTATGCTCATAAATGTAAAATATTTTTATTTTTTAATTAGGCATTTAGGAGGAGCAATAAAAAATTGCTTTTGTGTATTGTGACTCCCCTGTATGGAGGGAGATAATTGGGGAAAAGTTTCAAAAGAAAAGTTTGATGGGATAGCAACACTTAGTAAGAAAGGCACTGTTTCCCTAAGTTTTGAGGTGATTTACCTAAAGTTTTGATTGTAGAGATTTAAAAAATCATATTCATTTTATTTATTTTACATTTCACAAACCAGACTCAAAAATTTGGGAGGTAAGGTTCACCGGGTTACTGGAAAAACTAATTATGAGTTCTTGTTTGTTTCTGTGTTACAGGCTTTCCTCGGAGACGGGTGGCATGGGGAGCAGCTAGAACAATGCAGATTCATCCATAATCCCTTTTCTGCTGTTCACCACCACCCATGATCCATCTGTGTAGTTTCTGAACAGTCAGCGATTCCAGGTTTTAAATAGTTTGTAAATTTTCAGTTTCTACACTTTATCATCCACTCGTGATTTTTTTTTAATTAAAGCGTTTTAATTCCTTTCTCTGTTCAGCTGTTGATGCTGAGATCCATATTTAGTTTTATAAGCTTCTACCTGTTTTGGTTGTTTTGTTTTTTGGGTTTTTTTTTTGCTCATGAAATTTTTTTCCTGTTTGTCATGGATATGTAAGAGTGGAATATTAATACATTTCAGTTTAGTTCTGTAATGTCAGGAATTTTTCAAAAAAAAATTAAAAGATGGACTGGAGCTTTTCCTTTGTGAATAGAAACTGGATGCCACAGTGATTTCATGTGGGTTTTATTCCTTTTGTCTTGCTGTTATTTTTGTATCTCAGAGGACAAAGACCCCACTTGGGTTTTCAATAGAATTCTTTATTCCATTTAAGATGTTTTCTTCTCTTTTACCACTCCATCTTTTTTGGTAACCTGTATTGCCCTTGATACTTTGAAGGGTGACTAAATAGCTACCACAATCTGTTTATACCTTTGATTGGACCTTGTTCCTATAAAACATGGTGTTAGTAGGCAAACACTATTCCTTTTAATGGCAGAGAATAGCTATCTACATGCATATAGGAGCAATCAGACAGATGTCTGAGAGTCATGTCCAAACCTGCAAATTTTAAACTCAGAACTTGTGTTTTTTTTTTGTTTTAGTAATTACTCATGTATATTCCTCTCTTCACAGTGAGGCTGATGTTTTAATATCTCCTGCCCATCATTTAGGAAAAGTATTTCCTGCTATAAATTTAGGTTAGAAATTGAAGTGGTGGTAACTTAGTGAGAAACTGCTTTTCAGTCAGAACTAGCTGATAGCTGATCTTCAAATTTTTTTTTTTTGGAGAGGGTTTTTAAATCATGTGAGGAATTTGCCAGTCTTGCTTCCTGGAACTGCAGGTGGAATCAAACCAGATAAAGAGGCACCAGAACTCGATTAGTGATAGAAGTGGTATAAAAGGGAAGGTGACTTATTCCTACACCATTAATTCACCAAGAAAACCCTCAACACCTAGGCCTGCATGGAGTAATTATATTTCAAATTTTTTCATAGGGGTTACAATATGACAATCCCCACCCAGACCAGGCACCAGGATAGAATCAAGGCTTACACCATACCCCCATCTTTGAGCCTGAGCCATCACAGTATCCTGACCTCCCAGTTGTGCCATAAACAGGGTTTGGGCAGGGAAACGGAAGGACAAAAAAAAATTAGTACATTGCCACCTGAGAAATCTCAGAGGGGAGGACCCAGCCTTAGCCTCCCTCCTCCCAAGTGCAAAATGTGTAAACCGTAAACAAAAAAAGTGCAGTCTTAAAGTGGTTCCTTCCTGCTCCCCAGGATCTAGTGCGAAAGGTTTAGAGGAGCATAGGAGACAAGCCTGGCATTTCTATTGCCTAATTGCTGAACATAAGGAATGGGGTGAAGTAGGAAGGGTGTCAGCTTCCCCTTTCCCACAGCTCTAGGGTTGTACCTATTTCCACAGCTGCCAGTATCCCTAGAGTATCCAGCAAATTGGTAAAAGGATGGGAATAGGCTTCCTTGAGCCTGACCTAAGGCAGGGGTAGCCCCATCTTGATTATGTGGCGCATATATATATAATTTATATAAATATTTCTATGTACAGGAGTGAGGATGGTTTTCATGGAGGAAGAGGGGCTGGGGGCCTCAAGGCATCACCGCTGTTGGAGTTGTCCAGTTCAGTGCTGTCACAGTCTGAGTCCTCAGAATTGGGAGGGCCCTATAAGGAACAGAAGTTCAGTAAAGTGGGGCCCAGCATCTGGATTAAGAGTAGATTTGTTTAGGGTTACACTGAAGTTTTTGTAGGTCCCAACATAGTGGTTTTGTTAAATAGGAGGAACATGGTTCAGTCCTGACAAAGTGAGGACACCTTTTTCCCCACCAACTTGCTTCCCCCCAAATGAAAATAACCCCTCTTTCCTGTGCAAGACCTGTCTGTATTTCTGTTGTGCTATATGACTCACCTGCTCCCTTCTGAGAAGATCCTGCTGTGGGGTAGACAAGGAACTAGGTTCAGGGCCAGTGACTGCCCCTGCAAGAGGTGGGTCCAGTGGGATTTCTGATCCCTGGGAGCACATGTCATCAGATCGCTCATCTGGTCGCTCATCAGTGTTGGTACTCCCAACTTCAGGTGTGCCACTGGGGGAAGGCTCACTAGCTGTGCCCTCCTCCCCATCTGATGGGTTCTCTGAGCTGAAGGTAGATAGTGACTGGCGCATATTCAGTCCCTGGGGCCACCTATGTGTCGGAAAATAGGGGCTACAGGTGGGCTCTTCTAAGTCCATAAAGCAAAAGAATGTATCTTTAGTCCACCATTTCTCACCTCTGGCTCGATGTCAGCTCTACTTCACTGTCCACCTCTCCCTCTTCTTCTTCTGATGAGATGCCTCGTTTCTGCAGGAGAGACGAGACTACTCAAAAGTGGAAAGAAGAACCAGAATAGGATTAAGTAGGGAATGATGGCTTGGAAAATATGGAATATAAATTATGAACCCCAGAGAAAAGGAAGAATGTGAAAGGCCCAGAAATTTTCCCATACTTTACCTGACTTCGAGTGACAGCAGCCCTGTACAGTAGTGCAGCCGGGGTCAAGTGCTGGGCCCCAGCCCGGTTTCCTCCCCTTGCTGATGTCCCTTCCCTTCCAGTTCCCAGCAGCCCCACACCTTCACCAGGCCCTACTGGTGGAGGTGGTTCCCCTTTGGCTCCTCCAGGTGAATCCGGACTGGTGGAGCCAGGGGCTGAGCCTTCACTTGGGGGAGTGTCACCCCGGGCTGGAGGGGGTGAGCCAGGATCCCTAGTGATGCCCCTGCTCCTGGTCCCTAATGCCACAGACAGCAGGTCTGGGGATGATGAAGACATCTTGCGTAGCAGAAGGTCATGGTGGAGCCCACGGAGGGCGGCAGGGCAGGCTTCCCAGCCTGAAGGCCCCCCTCCTGGTCCTCCTGGACTTCCAGGTTCAGGGACTGGCACAGCTGCACGAAGGCCAGGCAGGTCTCCACAACTGCCCTTGGTACTGGCTTTTCGGTGACGAGTCTTGCCACGCCGGCTCCGTACTGGTGAGGGGGGCCCTTTAGGACAGCCAGGAAGTCCCACCCCACTCAGGGCTGCATCTAGTTTAGGCAGTAAAGACTCTGTCTTGAGGATATCTGGCCTGGTGGGGGAGGGAAAGTACAAGGTTGATATTAACAAATTTGTCCATTTAGAGCACCCCTTCAAGCTTAGGCACCTTTGGACCCTAGCTGGCTTTCCAGTGCATCATATGGAAAGCAGCCCATGTCACCTCAGCCATACCTTTTACTATGGGGTGATAGCTTCTGTGGCACATTCCTCTTCTTGATTAGCTTTTCCACTGTGTTGCCGTGTAAGAGGCCCCGGGAATGGTGTGGCTTCAGCAGGCCTGGGCACCTCCGCTCTAAAGCTTGCTCCCGCCTAAAGACCCAGTCACCACTTTAATGGGGCGTATGTTCGGGAAAGGGGGTTTGGGCTCAATAGGATCTTTGTAATATGGCATTGCTCCATGAAGACTTTAGGGAATAGATACAAAAGGATTTGTACCTGAGCAGCTCTCGTTCCTTAAGTTCAAGCTGCAACATCAGAGCATTAAGTTCCATGTACAGGTTGTTTGCCCTCTCCAGTTTCCGTTCATAGTGCTCCCTGATGTCCAGTGCATGTCTATGAAATAGATGCAGAATGAAGATTCCCTCAGAGTGAGCTGGGGCCCCTGGTGCCATAATTTATACCAGTTTTGTCCACTTTTGAGCTCTGGTGGTATAGTCCATGGGGAGTTGCACAGCTAACCCAAAGGCATCAGGAAGTTTGACTACCAGATTGTCTTTTGGAGAAAGATGGGCTGTCCATTGATTTACCCGTGTAAATTACAGCCTCAAAAATCCTACTGGAGGGTTAGCTAAGAGTTTTTCCCCACTCCATGGCACTGAGTTTTTCATTAACTGTCCTTGCTGCCTACCTCCCCAAACAAGGCTTTGAGCCAGTTCATGCAATTCTGCCATCTGAGAATGCATTTCCATCCTAGATCCCTTGAGTAATAATGATCCATAGGTAATGCCTAGGTTTTTGCAGGTGGGTAATGTCACTGGTGCCTAGGGGAGTTCTGCCTAACCAGAGGCACGTGGGTACCAAGCTTGAGAGAAACAAGCAATCTACATAACACTTCCTATGTAGTTGACTCATAGCTGACCCTCCAGTAGCTTTCTGGAGACTATAAATTGCATGGGAGGAGATGGCCCACCTTTCTCCCACAGAATTGCTGGTGCATTTGAAAACACCACAGGGGAACCACCTTCAGGGAAGCAGCACAACTCCCTATAGACTATGCCACTAGAAATAAAAATATTTACAAATTATGGGGGCTCCTCACACCAGACAGGATCAGAACCCAGCCATAAACACCTGAGTTCTTCCCTCCGCCGCATCACCAGCTCTTCTTCTAGGCGATGTAGACAAGTCCCTTCTGATTTAATCTTTTCAAAATGCAGCTTTACCTCTTCCCGCCACTCAGCCTGGGGGTTGAGAGAAAATGAAGGTGAAGGCTATTCCTTGACTAGGTACCTGACTGCTGCAGATAGAAGCCATAGAATTGGAGAATTTAACACACAAAAATAATCTGTTCCAAGTTCCAACCACCCATCTCCTCAGAGGGCATCATTATCTTTGCAAAGAGATTTTTTTCCTACCCACAGCACACCTGGGACTTAAAGTAAGTCTCCTGGGGTGTGGAGAGCACATCAGCTGAGGCGATATCCAGATGCAGCAGGATCTGTCTGAATGATGGACGGTTTCTGGGTTTGCTGTTCCTGCAGGGGATGGAAGTCAGGGGAGTTAATTTCAGGGAGACCCAGCTAGGAACTAAAGCACCCTTTCCCCAAGTGTTCTGGAAAACCTAATCCTAGGATGTATTCTCATATGATTACTATCTTTTAGCATATCAAAGTCCTGTTGTGATATGTGCCTTTGAGTCGCTTGCGACCCTGTGTGTAACAGCCCTAAACTCTGCTCTGTCC